GCCACAGACTAGCTACTTTTTATAAATGTAGATTAGCGTTAAACATCGTAAAAATGGGAATTAAAACAAAGAAACAAAGAAACAAACAGGTTACAATAACGACTCTTTATGTTATCTTCTTACTGTATCTATGAGAAACCTTTTAGTTTTATCCTTTTAAATGCCACCAAACGTTTATGAACTGCTTTAAGGTTATTTTTTAAGTAATTAAAATACACTCAACCCTAGTTCAGTGGCCCTTTCCCTCACCTGTCCGTCTCCTTGTTTGTCCCTCAAAGCACAGAGACTTGAACTTCTCATTCTATAGAAAGGAAACCCCACACGCCACGTCACTCTGCATACATATTTCATTAAGTTCTATTCTCGCGCTCAAGAGGCTGAGGGCACGCGGTGCCCAGCGCGCACTGCATACCGCTTGGGCATATGATCCGGAGCGATCAGTTTCACCAGTGGTCCGAATGTTCCAGTTTCACTGCAATTTTTGAATGTTGCCGTGTTAGTTATGAATAAAAGCTACTTATTTATTTACGTATTTGTTTGGGGTATAAAACTATACACTCCTTTACGGAAGTCGCACTCAGCACATAAGAACTCATTAGACACCACCAGGGCCCCAAGTGACAGCAGCTATGTCTGCACAATTCTCTGTCTAAAGAGGCTGGGATCTCAATGAGACACCATGCAGTAATGCAAATCGTACAGCGAAGAGGAAAACAGTAGGCTACTGCGTAATAATACTAAACTGATCTAATACACAGATAAACAACAATACAGAAAAAATATAGGATAATAAAATAGACTAATGAAGTGTAAATATAGCCTATATGTTTGGTATAAATGCTGTGACTTAACAAAAAAGACACCACATACGTGGCCTAGTGTGGCTTGAGAATTGCGTAAATGTGTCTGGTTATTGTTTCACATGACTTCAGGAGGCATGGGATGGGAATGTAATCTCTGGTTTGCAGAGGGGAGTAGCACCTGCGCCCGCTGAACATGAACGGCGTTTACAGTGTGTCTCCAGAGGGAGAGAGTGACTGGGAGTGGCTGGTCCTCCAGACAGCAAAACTGGGGACTTCCATGGAGTTCTGAGGGCCCTTACTTATGACACGCTGCGGCAGCTGAAGTGCATGTACAGTCTGTGTGCTCTGGAACCTGTTTTTGATTTTAGATGTTTATGTTTTAACTCGAATATAGTTTATGCAAATACAACAAAGATGATACTATTGTTACTTAACCAAGCTGGCTAATTATTATTATTATTATTATTATTATTATTATCGTTACTTTTTTCTGTTTTAATATTTTCAATATGTGTAGTGAGTATGAAAAATTGATATATGTAAATTAAAACAATAAAAATGCATTACTATGCAGAATTTAACCAAGCTGGCTAATTATTATTATTATTATTATTACGTTACTTTTTTCTGTTTTAATATTTTCAATATGTGTAGTGAGTATGAAAAATTGATATATGTAAATTAAAACAATAAAAATGCATTACTATGCAGAATTCATAAATCTATACAACACAACGTGCGCGTAACTAACTTTCCTCGAGTTAAGTGGTCGACTATTTTGAGAAGCAAAATATTTTTAATAACTAAATAAATCGTTTAAATAGCTAATTCAGATAGGTCTATATAAGGAGTAAAACATTTCACAGGCAAATAGCCTAATAATTCTATAATTTGACACAACCTTATTTATAAATGGACTGTCACGAATGACGAATATGAAAACCAAGCATTCTGCCAAGAATACCAAAACGCAGTGATTTTGGATTAAAACAATATAGATGTTTAAAGGTTAGAACCATTTCTACTTACTGCTTATTACCAAGATAATGACAATAGAACATGGATTAACAAAGGCGGTCTGGAGGACGTCTCCCTACTGAGAAATGTCCGATGTAAGAGCATTATGTATGTGCACAGCACGAGGGGTTAAGAGACAAAAAGAAACATCTAAGCTAAAAAAACTGCGAACAGTCTGGCCTATTTCTGTTCGTCTAAAAATAGATTGTAAACAATCAAGTGTGGAAACCTCTTCGATTACATTAACACTAGCCTACCTTTTTTGACACTGATTAAAACAAGTGTTTGTGTTCGTTTGTTCAGTTAAGAGACCACGTTATTCATTCTGTATAGAATATCTTGTTAGTTATTGTGACATTAAATGCGATGTTCAAATTGGAATTTCGTTTACACGTTATACATTGCTTATAGCACACAAATACCCTAAATTAGTGGGTGTCTACCAGTCTGATATCCTGTTTAAAATTACTCGTTAAACATCTAGTGGCAAGTATTTTTGGCCCCAAATGAGCAAACCTTTATGAATATTATTTAGGAAATTCAAGTAGGCCTATATCAACATTTATTTTAGGATAGTAGCTGGATTCCCAGCGCGATGTCATTCACGCTGTATTATTATTATTATAGGCTCTTATTATTATTATTATTATTTATTATATTATTATCATTATTATTACTTGACAAATGGTCAAGTTGATGCGTCTTTCCAAAAGTACCGGTGTAACGTTATATTACTGTTACAAATAGCCTATACACATATTAGAGTTACCTGGACTTCAGGTTTAGTGTTAACACTCTGTTTGATAGATTATTTGACAGTGACACAATTGTAAGTTTGTTTAATAGGAAGGTTTGGCAAGAAAGCATAAATGGAATAAAATAAATGTTATTTGGGCTAAAACGTGGGGGTAGACAAAATGTAAATGCGACTGCACGTGCACGAGAACTGCTCGATTATTTATGAAAGACCCTGATACTTACAAAACGCTAATAATAATTTGGGCTGCTTTTAAAAATCCGTAAAGTTTACCAAATATTTTTTTGCGGTAGAACGGTCCGCACACTGAGTAAAAAAAAAAATTTTCTCAAAGAAAGAAAGAATTCAAAGAAAGAAAGAACCTCGAGAATTCTTCTAATCGTTTGCTATATTTTATCAGCAGTGGATACATCTGAGCACGTGGGTCGAAAGTCATGTGACAGTACTATGGAGTTTAGTGCAGTTTAGCATGAGCTTGCTTAACATATTCCAGGTCTCCCTGCAAACTACAGAAAGCTAAATTTGAGTAAAAATCTGTAAATTAAAATACTATTTTCTATATTTATGCCATGCTAATTCCCGAAAGAAAAACAGGGTCATTGGACAACAAAATTATGCTGAAGACAGACCACAAAAGATTTTTGTCCAGACATTTTCCTCTAAACCTAAAATGTTTTTAATAAATAATACTGGTAAACAACGCGATATCTGAATCTTCATGAAGCAATCATACACATTAGCTGAAATTTCACACATAAGCTGATTTCCCCCCTCAAAATGTCTACATTTTATTTTTTGAATTAATTTAGCCTACTTCTCAGTGACAGCAGTCCTTTAACTCGGGTCGCACTAAATCAGTCTGAATGTCAGAATGGCACTCTTATTATTGGGGACAAAGAGAAGGGATGCATACTTCTATAACATTGATTGAATTTAGTTGCTAAGCAACTAGTGTATGGGAATTCATCCGCGAAATTTAAATCTTGGAGAGAGGGAATTGCGCGTTTTGCTGAATAGTCATCCCAAGAAAAAGTTGAAGGGATCACACTGTCGCTTTCGCCCGCTTACAAAACACTTCGTCCGTTTTATTTATGAGGCCTAGCTCAGAATAATTTCATCCCCAATATAATTAAGCTTACATGAATAATGTTAGGAATATAACATAAAGTCATTTTATGACATGTTTATACCGTCTAAAGTTTACAGCATGAATTATATTATATACAGGCCTGTTTGTATAGTCTTGGGGGCATTGGCAATCCGCTGTGAGATCAAGTTGTCTGGCTTATTTTAATAAGCAAATCAGAAAATTGGCATACGATGTTTGCGAGACTGATGAAATATAAAATAAAATAATAAAATATAAAAAAAAAAAGTAATAAAAATAATTCCATATTTAGGTCATCACGTGTTTCAGAGAGAAATTGAGAAATTCAGTTATTGAGAAAAATATAAATTAAATGTTATAATATTTTGCTATTGCTAAACACCTCGACTGATCGAATGCTAAAAATGCAATAAAAAGGCATGCATATGCAAAATGTCTGTAAACACGTGTTTTAGTTTTCAGGGTTATGTACGAGGACTAGCCTACTTAGGCTATTATTTAAAAAGTGATTATTTAGCAATATTTTACAGGATAGATAGATAGATAGATAGATAGATGTAAAGTGCCCCTGAAAAGCAGACCAGTGTAACACTGAATAAAAATATGTCCAAAAAACATGATGGTCGGGTTGATAGAAGGCATGTGGATTTGACAGTCGGCGTGAACGCTATAAAACAGGTAGCCTACAACACAAAAGCGGGTGACACAGTAAACACTCCACCTCCACAAGCGATCAACTTTTCTGTACTTTCTCTCGTGAGATTTACTGAACGTTGCTATCTCTATTACGTGTCACAGAGACACATTTCATCCTGCTAACAAAATGGTTTTACACTGAAGTAATTTACAGCGGTGACACTTTTGCTGCTTTGTCTAAGAGGTGAGTTAGCTTAACAGAAATTCTAAAAGTTCAAGAAATGCAAAACTCCCGTTAGTGCTTTCTGTCGAGGCCTAAACGATTGCCACGTAACACTGATCTATTTTTATTCATTTATTTATTTTAGAAAAACGCATTGTGTGAAATGTTTATATGACGGCTGTATTTTTAATCAAACATCGCAATATTGTTGGCATCAATAGAAAGGTTTGGTTTTCGAGTGTTATTTATATTCTGCATGTCATAACACAAGGCTATTACTATTCAGCAGTCATCATTTTAAAATGCATTTGGCTAAATAAAAATATATATAAAAAAAAAGAAACAGCTATACGATCTTAGGCACAACACACAATTTTGTTTCATTCTAACAAATTTATTGTTCTCGATCATCTCTTACGGAATCACTACTGAAATTAAATTACAATCAAATCATCACATCAAAATATACCCTTATTACCTACTGTCAAAGTCAGCTCGTGTAGATTTGTGCTCTTTTAAAAATGAGAATACAAAATTAAACAAAACAAATAAGGTCAACAACGAAAACAGGGAAAACATTTTACACAAGTCTGGGGGAAATAAATAATAACTGTTTGGAATAGTTCGTATGTATCCCGAATAAAATATTAAAACAAAGCATTTTAATGAAATTTATTAAGTAAATAATTCCGATCAGCATCTGATCTAATGAATCTATATTGCCGGCTTTACATAGTCTTGTTTATTAAAACCTACCAAAGAATACTGCTCGGAAATGGCAGCACATGAAAACATCCACAGCACCAGCTCTGGCCCACTTGGCAACGGATGTTCGCACAGAAGATTTTCAAAGAGGTGCAGCTGCGTAATATTCAGTCTTTTCAAAAGTCATCTTTGATTTAAATTTGTCCTCAAAACTCCACGTAAGATTAAGTTCTTTACATTAAAAAAAGAAAAAAAAAATCAAAAGATGTGATCTTGGAGATCAGAAACGGAGGGCAGTCTTTTGTTGTTTTTGTAAGAATTGGAAGGCCAGAAAAAAAAATCCATTCCATATTTTTGGATAATATCAAACCATGCAGTCTTCTCTGCCAAGTTGGATGGAAGCGTCGTGGATGCCACTGTTCTTCGCATTGTTTCAGTTGAATTTCATCCCTTTGTTTGAGGTTTAATGTCCCATAACAACACACACAATTGCCTTGCGTCTTTTGCCTCTCAAACAAGACATTGGTACAACACGGTAGGGGGGCAAAGATGTTGTTGTTCATCTCTAATTTCTGTTATTTTTCAGTTGAAGTTAATGCGCCAATATTACCTGGTGGAACGAACTTGTAGTTGTCACCCTCTGGTCGCCCGGTTCGCTCGGCCCAGTTAAACTTGCATCTTTTAAGTAATCTACTAAAAAATGTCCCTGAAAGAAAGAGCAAACACAACCTTTTAGGTTAAGACATTTAAGGGCCTGGAACAAGATTAGCGGGCGGTTTAGGGTTGGGAAGGAAGAGGGGTGATTTTTTTTCTTGTGAAAAAAATATATAACACATCTGCAGTCTCAATATTCCCTCACAATCACAGTATCAAAATGTTTTGCTATCTTGATGATAGTCTGTGTTTTATCAGATTAGTCATATATAAAATATTTTTTCTGTTCTATGTCTCACTGAACATTCGTTTGCAGTCCATGGAGGGGGGCGGTGTATCTGCACTCACATTGCCGACCTGAGAATATACATCCTCCGGCGTCTGCGGCACTCCTGGGGGCGTCATCCTTTTCTCTTTCTGTCTCCGATTGCAAAACCAAACTCTCACCACCTCCTTCTCCAGCTGCAGGTTGTCCGCTAGAGAGGTTATCTCTTGGGCCGCAGGCTTGGGACATTTCAAGAAGTGACTCTCCAGCGCACCTTTGACGCTCACTTCGATGGAGGTGCGCTTCTTGCGCTTCGGTCGTGGCTGTTCACTCCGTGGTGTGCTTGCTGGTGATGTTGATGCTGGTGGTGATGGTGGTGGTGGTGGCTGCTGTGATCGAGCTCCGGCGTGTCGCCGCGCACCAGACCCGGGTGTACTAGGCTCTGGCTGCCCGGCGGACTGAGCATGCCGTTCACCGTGAAGCCTCCAGGCTGCGAGTATATGAGGGACTGCTGCTGCTGTTGGCTCCCAGTTAGAGAAGGGATGTGGGCAGCGGTTGTGCTACCCCAGGCACCCGCGTGAGTCTGGTGGGGACCTAAATGTGGGGGCCTGTGATGCAGCGCAGTCCCAGAGTGCAAATCGTCTCTCCCCGAGTTATTTTTCACGTCCTGCTGCTGCTGCGAGCTGCCTGTCATTCCAACGGGACTAGACGACCAAGGCGATCCGGCTTCAGCTGCGGCCACTGCGGCAGCTGCAGCCGCCGCTGCAGCGTGAGGCAAGGACGTCACCCACTGGTGAGCGTGGCTCAGCATATGTCCCCCGTTGCTCGCTGCCATTGCGCCCTGCATGAAATCGCTTTGTACCATTTTAACTGCTGGGTCTCCTCTGTACCCACCGGACACTGAGGTTACCGCAGCACTGCCCTGCTGCATCCCACCTCCGGAGTCCGAGTGCACGATCGAGCCGGACGATAATATACTACTGCTGGGTAGATAAGGGTTGGAAGCCGCTGTGGCCATTCCGCTAACCTTATGAATACGTTTGCTGATCACCCCCTCCCTTTTGCAGAAACTTTTTTTAATGCAGGCAAATTATAAGCTATCTCATGAATTATTCAAACTTTAAAAGACTGGCTTGTGTTTTGACAAACACCATCAACAAAAAGCAAAGAAAAAGATATTGTAGGAGAGAGGACGAAATCCGTCTCTTGAATAATTTGTGCATTCATATATTTCGAACATATGAATGACTGAAACGATAAATTCCACTTTTATGTCAGCGTTGAAAAGCCCCTCGGAAGTCAAACAGTCCTTCGATCTATATTTTCTGTTTAAATAGTCTGAAAACAAAGAAAAAACAAACAAAAAAATGTTTCAAAACTTTGTCCCGCAAGAAACTTCTGGCGCTTGAAGAAGTTGTAATATGCCCTTAAAAATAATAAGTCCAAACGTATGTTCCGTTACCGAGTGGAAAAATATTAAACGTGGTTCTTCCTAAATTCTTTTGTTATATAGCCGCAGCGATTTCACTTGCTCCGTCCCTTTATTTCTTTTCTTTTGCAGATTCTTTTATGGTGCTGTAAAGTCTGTCTCTTTGTTCTGTTTTGATGTGTTTAAACCTGCCAAACCGCTCCAGTTGAAGTACAATCCAGTATTACAGTGCAAAGCAGTGTTGCATGCCTTCTTTCTCATTCGCTTGTTCTCTCTCCTCTCCCTCGCTCACTCTCCCTCTCTCTCTTTCTCTCTCTCTTTCTCTCTCTCTCTGACAGTTAGCTCCGTCCCTCCCTCAGAGCTCGAGGACACACGAGTGTTTACCCTGTGCTGCGTACGTCGTCCACGTCTTTTCACCAAATGCAAGGACGTCGGGTGTACGGCTCTCGTTGATTGGATAGCACCGGCAAGATTGACAGGTCTAGAGAACTCGCTTCAGGCACTTAGACCCCCCTTCCGGCTATTCCAATTGGCTGCTTTTGAATTTAAATAAATAAATCAAGATAAATGACTGAAAACGCTAAAGAATGTGGAAAAATATAAATAAATCCCCATTTAAGTACAATTTCCCATAGTTTTGGTGAATTATTTTGGTGAATTATTGACAAGACAGTGTGACTCTTAGTGGGCTATTTCTCAGGGCCATAATAAAATAACAACACATAGTTCTATTACTAAGCCTTAGGTTGAATTTAGATAAGAGTGATGAACAGTGACCTCTAACAAATAGGCTACAACTGATCTTTAGGTTATAATAGGCTACCAACTGAAATTTCGAAATAGATCTTTTGAAAAGCCCTGAAATTGCACTGGCTGCATGTGATCTCTGTGTACAACGAGTTCACTCTTACTGACAAAAGGAGGTCTAAAATATAGTTTCTCTTCCAGCATGTCTGTTGCAGTTTTTAAACTCAACTAAGCAAGATTATATAAATATATCGACGCAATAACCATCGCAATTGCGTCACTACTATCGACTATTTTTTCTGAAACGTCGGCCTCTCAAGAGTTAACGAGATGTCTGTGCGATGCTTCCAAGCGGAAACAGAGAGTGCAAGGCAACTGAACACAAGAAAGGCATGGGGAGAAAGTGGAAACCGAAACGAAGGCAAACTGAGTAGTCCTTTGGGGATTTGCAAGAAACGTCTTTTAATTTAACTACCAAGATCGACTGTCGATAGGGCACATATACAACATTCCTTTTCAAATTTCGCGCTGAATTGTTTAGACGTTACCATCAGACCCCTACAACATATGGATTCACCCAGTGGTATAAATAAAAGTGCAAGTCCAAAGAAAATTTCGGGTGATTGACATACGGTCCCCCCAGGTGTGACACTCGGTTTCAAAGGATCTCCTTGTTTATGAACTACTGCTAGAATAATAGCCTACATAGCTATCATAATAAGGACAGGCAAACTATATCCTACATAAACCAATGCACCATTTTACACCAATAATCACTCCAAAAGCTATTGTGACAGAAAAGCTTATTTTAGATTTAATTTAGTATCGGTGTATTGGGTATAATGACAATGAATCAGGTTTTGTAGAAAACCCAAGAGAGGACTAGGCTACTCACTCCCCTTCCCAGAAGATTTCATTTGGATCAGACTCAAAAACCGAGAGAACCTCGTGGATTTGTTTACATTGAATGGCAAAGTAGGGCCACCGCCACGGGGCTGTCTATTCATTAATTTCCAGCGGATTTTGGTCTAAATTACTGATATGCAGCTCGCTTTCAAAGAAAGTCTCGTGCGGCCATAAGAAACGTGATAGCCAGTATGAGAAAAAGGGATTCACTCACTCTGAGGAGTCAAAGCAATTTCAAATGTTCAAGCCTTCAACTTTTGAAGTTTAATGTTTGGGAACACTGGTCGCATTAAGCTATATGTTTGTGCACTGGAGTCGAGATGAAAGAGCCACAGTCAAGCCAAGAACATCCATACCATTGCGCCAAACACACAACTCAAATTCGTAAATGTCTATAGAAATACAAGCGTCTACAAAAAATATATACATAAATTAATTGGAATCAGCACAACCATAAAGATTAGATCCCACACTTACACGCTTGACAGTGACGTATGGGGGAGTATTTTGTCACCAGCAGGTGTCGCGCTTAGTCAGGATGGTAAAAGCGTTAATGGTGAGTAATTGGGGTATTGTCCTTGATTATTAATTTATTCTTATTTTTTTTAGGAGAAGCATAGGGTACTGATATTGTAAACTGATACCTGTTGAAATCATAATGCGGAAAACCACCTCAGTACAATTAATTTATTCATAAGCCATTAATACAAATTATTGTTATTGCTGAAAGAAACAATGTAGACCCTGCTGTTTGTTACATGTTTAAAAAAATGATTCAGTGTATACTTTTTCAAACGGATTTTCACCTTACTGTGTACGCCTTTGTAATTCTGACTTTGATTGATAACGTAGACCTAAGTTGCAGTTTGTAGTTTATTAAAAGGTTCGGGAAGTTTATAAATAAAACATTTTTGACCAGACAGTTTCTTATATTTGGCAAACATTTACATAAATGTTTTTACGTAAAAATGCTGATATAAGTAACATTAGTATTTAAATACATTTAAAAACTTGTCTATGTGTGTGACACATTAGTGACACACTAGCATTAACCAAGGACAAATGTATTCAACAAAAACAAAACAGAAGAAATGATTTGATATAAAAATCATTATAAAAAAGTGCGCGCATGTTTGATCACCTAGTTAAATATTTGAATAATTGCGGAATTTTAAAATCACGAAAAAACACACTGAACGCAATTGTAACTGAATATCATTTAAGAGGATTTTGAGTAGGCTATTAACAATATCCCAAAGAAAAAAAAAAAATTTATATTGCTTTTATTATAATTAAATGTCTGTTGGTTTTGAAGACTGTTGGTCAACAATACATGTAACAGAAATATAGCCTACTGCTGAATTGTCATTAATTTGAGAAACAAACCTTCAAAGCGCTAAGCTCATGTCTGACAGCGTGAAATTGTAGGCCAGAGCTCTGGCGTCGTCCCAAAAAAAGAGGATGCGATGTCTCTTATTTTCTCTTAATTCCGGAAGATAAAATGTCATAGTGGGATGGTACATGTGTATGATGTTATTATAAAATAAAATAGACTAATTATAATTATTATCTTATACATAATAATATGTTGCATTTGATTTTTAAACCTTATTATTTATTTATTTATTTAATTTGTAGTTTATTTATAGGTTATTTAACAATTTATAGTTATTTGGAAGAACGATAATAATCAAAATAACAACAAAAATGCAGTATTGGATTTATAATTTTTTTCTACAAATACAAATTGGGATAAAACTACACATGGATCAATCTAAAATCTTCTGTGATAGTCGGTCAGAGAGGAAGAGTAATCGACTGAACGATGTCATTTCATAATTTGTGACTACGAATGGCATTATTTTACATCCTTGTTCTATACATGGAAGCCCATAGAATGTGTCACGTCGTTCCGCCTTGTTTATTCCACTGCTCCCTTGTGCATCATTTCTCGTAGCACCGGCCCAGGAGGCGCGCAGCTCATGACCGAAATGGCGAGAAATGTTTCAGAGCTCTATGTCTTACACGAAGATTATCCGAGCTTCATTATTCGTAAACATTCCAGCCAGCCACAAATATGTAAATAGACTAAAATCAGTAAAATACAAAATAAAGACTCAAAAATATATAAATCACATCAGACATTATATTTCTGATATTATCCCCCAACTCAGTCAGGACCCCAGCTTTGAATTTCATCCATCTCAAGATATGTGTGATGTGACACAAAGCTGTCTGTTCCATGATATGGATGCTAGTCTTCTCTCTCTCTGTGTGTGTGTGTGTGTGTGTTTGTAACTGACAGATCCCTCTTAACTGTCCCATGTGGACTAACAATATCTCTCGGACATCCTATAACAGACACTGCACTGATTACTGCTGTAGGCCACTGCAATAATCTAACTCCTACTGTCCCATTACGGGTCAGGGGCACTTTCATGAAACACTTGATTATATATACATGCTAGGATTATCTGACATTCCAACTTAATTATGCATCAACATATTAATCTGATGAAAAAGTTGCCCGAGCACCGCGATGTGCCCTCTACCATTTAAAATGTATCCATTGTGTGTGGACTGAAGTGGTGCCCTGCGTGTTTTTGTTTGTCAAACAGCACCGTTCCCTGAGGAGTGCGGTTTGTGGTACCTCCCTGCTCAGGATTACATTAATCAAAGCATTTATTTCCCCAGAGATGCACAGCACAAATCACCCAAAATCCCAATCAAATTGAATAACAGAGGAACCACGCATTGGAAGTGACCTCTGTGTTTTTTCTGTTGCTCGTTTTGCGAGAAAACGGGTCTCTTGCCATTTTAGCTTCACTCACAAAAGCAAAAGTGTCTTTCTCTGTGATACAGAAGAGGAGAAGAGTTTCTATAGTTGAGGGTATTTTGTTGACTGTGAGAAACATGGAAATCTTTTGCCAGTGGCCAGACATAGTGTGGTTTTAGTGATGAAACATAGAAGTTTGGTTTTAACAGCACATCTGCGGATTTAAAGGGGTCATATGATGATGCTATCTCCCATTGGAAATCAATGCAAATGTCATAATGTGCTTTAAATAATATGTGGATGGAACATCTAATACTAGTATAAATAAATAAATAAATATATATATATATATATATATATATATATATTGTGTATATATTGTGTATATATACACCAATACAAATATGTAAATAGAC